TACACCAATTTTGAAACTAATATTTAAACCATAACCACAATTGACAATCTAAATTCCGACTGGAGAATGGCTTCTTCCTCTTCCTGCTTTGTCGTCATTTTCATGTCAACTTTGTTACAATTTATGTTCGTCTCTGCTTCAACAAAACACATCGACGCCATATGCCAACATGTCACCGAGAAAGAGTTCTGCGTCAAATCTTTGACGGCATATCCTCCAGCGGCTTCTGCCACTGACGAGGTACTAATATCTTATTTTGTCTAAACAATTACATAGACTCATAGAGATAATGTCACTTACTCTGCAATGGTTTTAGTTTACATTATTATCTCAAGTTGTCAAGAAGCTAAAACCATTACGTTCATGTCTCAGTCATTCTCAATCATAGACATATAATTATTTTTTTCTTCTTTGAATCCGTAGTTAAAAGTGGTTAAGGCCGCACTCGATCTAGCCAAATCCTACGCCGAGAAGTCAAGGAAATTCACCGTGAAAGTGGCAAACGAGAATCCAAACTTGAAGAAGCAATTCATGGAGTGTGGAGCTTCCTTCCAATCAATTATAGGGTCTCTCTGGAGCGCTACTAAGGAACTCACGATAGATACGATGACTGCAAACTATGATGTCATGGTTTGTTACGACCATACGAGGATAGTGAAGGATTCGATCGGTAAAAATAGAGACGAGGCTTCAAAGACTATCATGAACATGACTATGATGATGGATAAACTTCTTGCTATTGCCGGTGGGGCCACCGAATTAGTTCTTTGATAAATGATAAAGAGGGATGATGAGAACATATATATTACTAGGACAGATCCACGCATTGCGCAAATTTATTATATTTTGATGTCATATAATAATAATATTTACATTGTAATATGTTTGTTTAATAATGATATGTAAAAAAATTAAGAATTTAATTATTAATTAAAAGGATTAAAATAATTATATTATTTCTTTTCGATAATAAAGATATGTTATTCTGTAATATAACAATTCAGAAATATATTTACGGTAAAATTTATGACTATAAAATAAATTATTGATATTTTTTAGTCTTTCTATATTATCATGATATATAGTACAGTTACCATCTTTTTCTTTTGTAATTTATGTTTGTGTAGTTGATTTTTTACTATTGACAGAGTAGACCCGTAATTTAAAGATAGAGTTTGTGGTCGGTCGATAGGGTAAGAGGAATTCTCCTGTAAGATAATGCATATAGTATATTTTCTATTGGATTTGTGATAGAACTAAAAAGTTAATTTGTTAATTGAATGTCCTGTAGTATTTGCTATTTGTAACTTATTGTATTTGTTATAGTATTTAAGCGCTTTTATTATTTTGGTTAAGTGTCTTTATAGTATTTTTGCTAATATTTTATTTTATTTTTTTTGTTTGTGATGTGGTAAGATTCTTTTTGGTTAATTGTGTCATGTTGGATTTATGTAGAAACAACAATTTTTGGTTTATTTAAACAATAATAGTTAAGTTTTTTTGCAAAAACCTTAGAAATAAAGGCAATGCAAAAATTTCATTACTCCTTGAAAAAGAATAATGGCATTGCAAACAATTTTTAAAAAAATTTAAATTGTTTATCAATCAAAATACCTTGTAGAAATCTACTATTTAATTAACTATTCGAAAATCGAATTAATAAAAGATCAACATGTGACAAATTGATTAAATATTAGCTAAAATAGTGTTTAGCTATAGCAGTAGCAGTAAAATTAATCAAATAGATAAATACTGTAAAACAGATAAATTCATGAACATATTTGACTTTTTGTTGACTTTTATATGTTATTGTGATTTGTGTTTATTTTTAGTATTATATTTGTTAATTGTTATGTGATAAGATGATATTGTATATGTGATATTTTAATTTTTAGTTTTTTTTAATTTGCTTTTAAATTTATTATTATTGAATTTAATTTATTTTTCAGAGTGTTTGTATTTATTATAATTGACCATGAATTTAATATTCAGTAAGTATTATATTCTGATTTCTATTTTTAATGAATAGTATTATATATGGTTTCTATTAAATTTTAATTTGAATAGAGTATTTTGATTGGAAGGAGATGTAATTTAAATTATTTTGTTTGTTTGTTGGTAATTTTTTCTTAAAATTTTATTTATGTAATAAAAAAAAATTTCCATAACACATGTCTTTTATATTATTTAAAGTTTGATCATTTATTTAAAATTCTAATTTTTTAATTGTGTTATTAAGCTCTGAATGAAAGTAAAGAAAATGAAAGATTTGACACTGTTTATAAAAACATTAAATTCAAAAATAAAGGATGAAACATACTTTATAATAAAAAAATTATTTTATTATGATAACTGTTTCTTACTTTTTAATGATAAACTACTTAGAAATTTTTTAGTTTTACACAAATGGTAAAATAAAGAATATACTTAAATAAAAATGATATATATCAATTTGTTGAGTGCTACATGATAACATTTCAAAACTTATTCTAAAAAATAACAAAAAATATTAGAATAAATATATATATTTTAATCATAAGTTATTGATATCATATTTGTTTCTTAATCATATTATATATCGCACTTTTTCAAGTAAAACTATATTTTTTTAATAAAAAACTTAAATTATTTATCGATAAATAGTAAAAAGAACTATTTTTTTAACAAAAAACTTATCAAAAGTTTATTATTATTAATTTATAGAGTTTTTACTGTATTTTAATGAAAATAAAAGATAATTAACCTATACAAAGTTATAAGTGTAAATGTTATATTATAAGTGTAATTAGCCTAACTTTGAAGCAAATATTATAAGTGTAAATGGTAACTATAAGTTGACTTTTTTTTTTAACTGCAACTACAAATTGACTGTAATATGGCGGAATGTAAATCTTGCATCAGTTACGTGGAATTACTGAAAATTCAAGTTGATTAAAAACATGAGCCAAAACACTATTCAGTAAATTTAGTAAAGTTGGTTAAAAGAAGAATTACATAAATGTTAGAGGAGGAATGAACACATTTCTTAAAAAGTTTTTTTTAACAATAACTTAAGCCCATCAAGACTAAAAAAACTGCGTCGATGTAGCTTTAAAAAGGAAACTCTCGAATATAATCTTCAAACTCCCAAAGCGTCGGACCAGTTCAAAAGAATATTCAAGGATAAAGGAAAATTTCCATATTCTTCGAAGAATAAGTGATATTTTCATATCGCAAATATGGAAATATTTGCCAAAAGAGAAAAGAAAAAGGAGCTCGCAGCGACCGACTTCCTCTAAGACCCCGGAGCACAAGAAGAACAAGTCATACAATCTAGAGAGCAGCAGAACTAAACCTAAAGACTCCAAGCTTTATAGTTTACAGCATAAACACTTTCTTTTCACTTCGGCATAACCTTTCGGTTATACCAATCGCTTCGACTTTGAGCTATTTAATAAAGATCTTATAATCTGAAACCCACAACTGTTAATCACTAACCCTAGTGGTGATTTTCTGGTTCAACAATTGGCACCGTCTAAGGGGACAAAGAGAATAAAATTCTAAAAACTAGCAAGACAAGATCCAAAGCGATGAGCCTTCCGTCCGACAACAACAATCTCACCCGCAACACAGAAGAAACTACCACGCACACTGAAACACCTGCTCTTGAAGAGCACGGCAACCCTATCATCAACACCACTGCGACTCCACCGGCCACAGGAGTAGCTTCGGCCCCCGTCCTCGCCGCCGATCTCGCCGCAGCAATCCAGGCAGCCTTGCTACCGCTCATGGAAAACTTGGTGTCCAAACTAGACACCCTCCAGGCCCAACAAGCCAAATATGATGAGCAGCTCAACACTTTGGCAGCCGCAACTACCGCAGGATCCGCACCACTAGGTCAGCGGCTGATCTTTGAAACGCCAGAACGTAACAATACTCAGCACACAGCCCCAACCACCGATGAACCAACCGACGAACTAAACTCCGAGATCGCAAAGCTATATCAGCGAATTAACGCAATTGGATCTCAAGTCCATCGCGCCACCAGTTCGGCGCCAGAGATCTCGGCGGTTCTATCAGATACAGAGTGCAATCTGTTTGCTGCGCAAATCATCGATGTTCATCTCGGCGCTGGGATCAAATTAAAACTACCTTACTACAACGGGACTATAGACCCTAATCTATGGCTCACCGGCTTCAACGTGGCCATGAAAAGACAGCGATTCGAGACCGAACTCGAGCGAGAAGCGAACCACTACGAGACCATTGCCGAGCACCTCAGCAAAGACGCTCTCAAGTGGTTCCCCAACCTCCCGCCAGCTTCAATCGAATCTTTCAAGGATTTGTCCCATGCTTTCATAAAGCATTACTCGATGTTCATAACCAAGAGGACGGTCAACCTCTTCACCCTAATATAGGAACGTGATCAACCCCTTTGGGAATACATAGAAAATTTTAAAGGCGCCACTGCAGCGTACGGCCAAATACCGCAAGCCTTAGCTATTGAGGCTCTCATGAACGGTTTATGGTTCGAATTCTCGTGCAAAGAAGACCTTCAGAAATACATGAAAGAGATTATAGAGGATGCACTTCATTGTGCCCAAACTGTCATACGGATGGAAGAAGAACGAACCTTCTACGCTAAGAAGCACGGCATGGATAGAGCAAGCACTTTTCAAGGCAAGGACCCATCAAGTAAGGGCAAGCAATCCTCCCATGCCATCGTAGCAACTGGAGCGAGGCCCTGGAATCAGTGGACCCACGGTGATCCTCCAAGGAACTCAGACGATAGAGACGATAACCAAGATCTCTACTGCTCTTTCCATGGACGGACAGGACAAGCTACCTCGGCCTGCCGACATCTCCAAAATTCGTTGTACCAAAAATACAAGGAAGGGAAAATAGAAGTCGGCGGAGATCGATCCCAGAATAAAAGCTATCACCTGCAAGTTGGAACACAATCAACTAAGTCAACACTATCCAAATGTATAGTATCAATGCAGAAAATGTCTTCAATGTCATACATAAAAGCATAAAACAACTACTGCTAAAGCATGAAACAGAAACTCAGAAATGATTCTAAAAACTAACATGTACAAAAGCCACAATATGACATGAACAATTCAAAAGTACATAGCTATAAAAATTGATTAATGTGAACTATAGTATTATGAGAAATGTTAACGCCATAAATATTAATCCAAAACCAGAAATGTTTAGGCATAAATATCAAATTATCTTAAAACAAACTGAAACATCATTAAAAACAAAACTGAAAAATCAAAACAAAGACCAAGTGTATAACTAAAGCGAAGATCACTTGGAACTAATATTGGCTTTGATCCAATTCTAACCATAACGTTCTTCTGGAGATATATCGGCAAAGACATCTTTCATTCCTAAGGAATAGATAAGGGTAACAGCTTTAAATTTGGTATGTTCATCCAAATTAGTGATCTCTTTCATAGCATCCCAAACACCATTTTTCTTTTTCTCAGCTTCTCTTTGCTCAACTTCTTTTTGTTGTCTTTCTTCTCTTTGTTGTGTGATACTAAGGATCTTATTGCTCACTGTGACCACAAAATCATTGTTATCACTCTTCAGCTCCTTTAAATTGTTGCATGCTTCAGTTCTAGATCTCTTTCTTGGAGTAAATTTCTCGACATGACCTTTTAGATTTTTGTCTAAAAAAGGTGATGCATCATTACCATCATCGGCACTCTCGCAAAAAATCAAGGTTTCTTTCACTTGGTCATCACCAACTCTGCAAGTGGGTGCTTAGTAGTATCACCCAATCCAACTGACTTACTACCATTGGCGGTTGCACCATCAAATACAATTTGAAGATCTTCAAACATATCATGGGAGTTGTATCGCATATATCTGTGGTTTGGATGTGTTTGTCAAATTCCATTATAAAATAAATAGATTAACATACAATCACGATTTTTTATTATTATTAAAATTTATGTAAAAAAAAACATACCTTTAAATATCCACTCCACACTTCTTCAGAAGCTGTAAACTTTTTTGTCTCAAAATCCCATCCGAACCCAGAGCTGTTATGTTGAAGATCCAAATAACTTTGGTATTGGGCTTTCAAGTACTTTATTCTGCTTTGATATTGTGTATATGTTTTTTGGCATCCAAATCTTTCATTGAGGACTGGTAGTATTTTATTTTCCACGGTTAACTTGGTAATCAAACCACAAGAATCACGTCATCCACGCTTAATTCCCTCCACAAGCAACTCAACCAATACTTTGTTTCTTCTGGATTTCATTGATTATATTGATTTTTTTTTAGTTGAGTATCACCCTTTTTTTAAACTAATCAAAATTAGTATAAGAACAATATAATATCTAACAACTATTTTAAAGATTATGCAAACATAAAATATAAAAATCAAAAACACAGAAAAACAAAAATCAAACTTAAAAATAGTACACAAATTTGCAAAACATAAAATAATATATGCTGAGTAGAGAACAATCATATAAACATAAATAAATCAAAGCAACAAATAAAACACCAAGTATAAAACATAAATTAATAATAAAAACAAAGAAATTACCTGATTTTTTTTTTTTGCCTGATTGAAGAACAAGATGAAAAAGCAATAAGCCAGTGAGGAAAATCATGTCAATATATATATATTATGTATCATGTTAAATGACTTATTTGAAAATTTTCTAAAGTATATACATAATACAGATTACCTTAAAAGTCAATGAAAATCAACAATAAGTCAATAATCAATGAGCATTTTTAACAATATATTCTAGGAATCCATATAAATCTATTAAAAAAATTTTAAATCTCTCAACTTTACAAATTCTTAAATTCTACATAAATCTCTCTCCCAATTACCCCTCCCTAAATAAAAAGATTCATAACAAGAAATAGCATTCAGAAAGAAAAAAAAAAGCATGTAATTAATATCTTCAACGTAATCTAATATGGTTCAAAAAATAACGTACACAAAATCGCACACCACAATATTAATGGCCAGAATATAAAGATTCTATATTTATAAAGACCCAAATCACCACAAAACAATAGTAATAAATAATCTAAAAGGTGGTTTGTTGGAAAAAGATGGGTTTAAGAGAGGAGAGGGACACGTGACGCGAGGCCTTCCTCTTCATCTGCAGCAATCTCACTAGATCCGTTGCTCAAACCGACCGGTTTGGCATTTCTGTAAATCCCATATAGTATGAGTTGCATCGTCCCAAACACAAACCCCACTCCATTTGGCACCTACTCAATTTATCCACAAAATTAATTTAATCAATAACATAAATATATTGTTCCAAAAACATAAAGTTCAACCCCTATTCGAAAATCTCTAGAAGAAGCATTTGCAGACGACCCCACAAAATAGTAGTTGTTGCATTTTGAGACCAGACACCTTTTTGAAAAGAAGTTTTGTTTGAAAAAATCGCCAAAACATCATTGGTTTAATGTTGGAAACTTGGAGTCCATAAAAAATTTCAAGTCATTATGCATAAATCGAGATTTTCTTATAAAAATGTGTGGCATGACAAATAGACAATGACATGAACAGAGATGATTAGAGTGTCAAAGGAAACGACAACTTATTTTGGGGTTATTGTTGGAATATTGACGAGACATAGGGGTCGATAAAATTAAAATAGGTTTATAACTATTTGTAAAGTATCCATATTTTGTCCTTTTATATATGTCTCAATGTCACTAATCACTATGCCAAAGAAATGTCAAATGTGAACGACAGTAAAAGCGTTACTTACGAGTAGAAAAACATCGTGTTGGAGTGTAGCGTAGACGCCCCAAATCGCGCCGTTTAAGAAGAGGAAAAACGACAACCAAAACGGCATGTATTTCACGCTCTTTGTCGTCACGACTGTTTTCTGCAAATTAATTTTAAAACAATACTATTAGTCCATTACTATATATTATAAGAGATATGTGATGAACTCAAAAATCATTTTCTAATTATTTGTTTTGCCCGAAATGTGAAAATGGAATTACAGGTATGTCTTTTTCTAAGATTTGTATAAATAATGGACCCACCACCGAGTCATGGAGTTGCATTATTTAGCTGGAAAATATTTAATCCTGTGGGGGTACATATTATGATATGCATACGTACAGAAGATGACAATTGTGAGGTTTATATTTATATTTAAAAGTGAAAAATCTAATGACGTACAAGTAGTATATAATTGATATCTGACTGCGACTTCTTAAAAAAGACTCGTGCTTAAAAAAATGCCATATGGTGGTTGGTTTATAATGATTGCATGTATGAAAATAACCTTTATCTCCTAATAAACGTTGCCAAAATAATCAATAATTACCAAAAATATAATAAAACATTTATAAATTAATAATGTTAGGATTACGAAAGTTTATAAATTATAATGATTATTAATTTATAATATATAATTTAGTTAATAAATTAATTTTGAAACTGATAAAAAATATTAATTTATCAAAATATTAATAAACCGAGTATTAATTTATAAAAGATTTACTATAACCACTAAATTTATTTCTCAAACAAAATGATTATACTGTATAAATAAAATTCGAATACCACTAGCTAAAAGAAAGAAAATAAATATGAAACTAAAAAATCAAGAGAAATCATTGTGCTTTTATTCAAAATATTAGTCTTTAGACCAGGTGGGTCGTTTTTAATCGTGGACGGCTAAACTTGTACTATTTGGAATAATTATACTAAATAAAATAAAAGATCAAATAAATTTCTTTTTTTTGTTAAAGAAGATCAAATAAAATTCAGAAATTAGTTATACAAAGGGGACGAAAACGTGGGAAATAAAAAAATAGCTATACGCAATATATATATATATATATATTATATAAAGATTGGACAGATAATATGACAATTAAGAATGAACTTACCATAGCAGAGAGAGGAGAACCATACATTATAATGTTGAGACCGGCACATATGAAACCCATCGATTGAGAACGCGATTTCTCATCTTTAAACGCACCTCTCGTGGCCACAATCGCTGCGATTGGGAAAAAGACGTTCAACAACGCTACCACTATGACTGTATTCAACTGTGAAAAAAAACACATTATCAATATATATAGATAGAATTCACTTATGTCAACCAAACACTTTATAAAATGTATAAACACGTTAGAAATTCTACTTTACAAGTCATCCTAGTAATATATTACAACAAGTGGATCACATTTTTTAATCAACTTGACTTAAAAAATGTGATACAGAAAAACTGATAGCTAGTCAGATCCAAATCTGAATAAACGGATCAAATAATATGCCGATCTTAATCAGCTATCATATAAGAAACACAGAAGATCAAGAAACGGAGAGAGTATATATCACATCTCATAGATGGTAAAATAAATTTATATAAAGTAAAAAACCTTGAGATGTCGAGGGGCATAAAAGAGAAAAAGCGAGACATAGATGAATTCAACAAGAGCACCAAAGCCGTTGACGGTTGAGACAAGATATTCTCCGGGAGTGACTATGCCGTAATATGTCCATAGCGTCGATCCTAATAACGTGCAAATGTACGGCAAACTTTTATACTCCTCCGTCGATTTTCGCCTCACTATTTTCCAAAATGTCTCTCTGAAATTTTGGTATATATTTGGCCGATCGATCAATAATCGAAATTAAAAAAACTATATATTAGTATATCTTAAGAGAGAGAGAGAGAGCTCACACTGGTGAGAGGAAGACGAGTACGGAGATTACATTTCCTGCGTCGAACACAAATTATATAAGTTGAATTGTCAAGTATGGTACATATATAGCTACCGACACACATATTCGTGCAAACGAGTGTATATACATGTATAAGCACACGTGTGAAGACGGGTGTTACCTACGACTCCGATGTAGAAACTTGGCTCTACCATTTCTGGCGAAGAGAGTTTCCGAAGAAATAACAAATAAGAGAGAGAGAATGTGTGTGTGTTTGTGTGAGAGAGGAGGAAGAAGAGCATTTTTATATATTGTTTTCTTGGGGCGGTTTTTATATTGTTTTTATTTGTTCACACTGTTAATGTTCAAGTGTGTATATTGACGTAAATTGGTCTTATTAGACGAGTGAGAGATCAATTTGACCACCAAAAAAAAGGATTTTTTTTTTCCCTCAGGTTTGGTTAAACAAACAATTTAATTAAAATATTAAACTGAAGTATTTTTGTTCCATTTTATTGAAAAAACGTTAGCGGGTTTTATATATACGTTATGTGTTTTTCTAAAGGACCTAGACCATCGTACTTTTTGTTTTGCTCAAGATATGTGTTTATATTTCCTTTAGTTCCCCTTTATGAGGTACCATTTGGAACTTACAAGTTATCAAATAAATTTGCAGCACGAGTAAAAAGAAGCTTATACTCCTCCGTTGATTTTCGCACTTACATAATTTTACCTCTTTTCAAGGTTAAACTATATGTAAAAGATCTATTTTAATATTTTCAGTAGACTCTTTTGTTCCCTTAATTAAATTAACACATGTGCCATGTGGTGGCTACCATAATTCTACCTCTTTTTTTTTTTTTTAAGATTGAACAACTCTCTTACTTTCTGTACTAATGTTTTTCAGGTTTCTTCAATTTTCTTATATACAGTACATTAAAAAAAAAAATTTCTTACGAAACTAGGTTGTTAATCAAAGAAAAACAAGGGTATGATTGGTATTTCTATTGAGATACTCCACGTTTGGTTGCTATTCGCTAAAACACATCAACCACAATCTTCCATGATTTTGATGTCATTTTCAAGACTAACAACAATATTTTATTTTAATTTTCAATATGTATTCTCCTGAAATTCGATAAATAATGAATGTATTGTGTATATGCAGAATTACAGATGAATTAAAAAAGATTTGTTTATTTGGATTTAAATAAAACTAACATGTGTGAAATCGCGGTCAAGGGCCGTCCTTAGGCTGGTGGCTAGGCCATTTTGATCAATACCAATTTCCTTCAATATTTTTTTTTTTTTGACAGTTTCTTTCCTTCAATATTGAAGATACGCTTCAGGAACATCTTACCAAAAATTATATTCTGAAGTGATAAAGACTACTTATCATAAACCACATAAAAATAAATAGTATATATTTCATCAAATCAGTTTTTAGAAAATGCCAAAAAAACTTATTGGATTGTAATGGGTTCAAAACTGGTAATGGTTACAAGTTTTTTCTGTTAAGAGTGCATTTTGAAGTTTTTAGTAAAAAAACAAAATGCACTTGAAGATGAATATCTTTGACCAAGACGTATTTATCACGTTCCTAAGTTTTGTAATTTATTTTACACTTGGAATTCTAATATTACTTCTTGAACTTCCATAAAAGAAAATGAACTATTACTTGACAATTGTTATTTTAATTATAAAACTAAATATTTTTATTAGCTACTGTTTGGTTCAATTAAATAACTTTTTATAATTTATATTATTAAAAAATATTAGCAATTATTATTAATTTACTTACTTTTTGTTTTCTACATGATTAGACCTACGAAGATAAAAAGAAATTAAAATTAATCTCTCAACTTCATAAAGAGTTTTATTTTGTTTCACAAACAACATCATTTTATATTTTCAATATAGAATTTTGTATTAAAAATAGTTTTAACCCTATTGTTTAAATATATTACTTAGAGAAAGAAATTTACTTAATGTATTAATAAATGATAAAACAAAAGTTATAATAATTTTGTTAATATGTGTTTAAAATTCTAAAACGATATTCTTTACAAAATAAAAAGTATAAACGTACCACTAGTCTACAAGCCAAACTAACAACCGAACTAAAAAACAAGAAGAATGCAAGAAAGCTGAAAACACGAGGAGAACACCATTATGCCGTTGTGGTGCATCTCTCGAGAGGATAAAAACCAAATTACTAACACACATGCATTCCTACATTTTGTAACGCCTTTCATATTTGTTAAAACTATAGGTGAATAGTTGTGCATACGTATTTACTTTTTTTCCTAAAATTATTTGTTTTTAGTTAACTGTTAAATATTCTAGTTTTTTTGGGCATTCAAGCTTGATTTGATCATATATGTTTAAGAGTTGATTTTCCGATATCATTTTATATACTTTGTGACCTATTTGCCTTGTTTTTGTATATATAATTCTACAATATATTCAGCTTTTAATGTTATACTAATAATGTTTATGTGCCCTTTCTATATGCTTGTTTGTATAAGGACTATATTCTACACTTTAATGTTCAAATTTGGACTGGTTTATCAGAGTCGCCAATGTTGTTAATTTGTCATAATAATTTTTTTTTTGAGATGATAATTATTGTTGAGAAGAAAAATGGTTTCAATGACAAATGCCGCAATAAATGGGCCTGAGTTACGAATATCGAATTTAATTGGACTGGAAGTCTGGAACCAAGCAGACGAAAACGACGGCGTATCACAGTTGCAGAATTTTCTGCGACAAAAAATCTAGTAACTAGAGAGTGTATATATGATGAACTTTGTACCCCACTCCTCTCCTCTCTCTCTTCTCTACTTTCCTCGTCTCAGCTTACTTTTTCAGCAAATCTGATTTGCAAAGATAAAATCATCGACGAAGGAAATAAAAAGATGAGTGACGGGAGGAGGAAGAAGAGTGTGAACGGAGGTGCACCGGCGCAAACTATCCCCGATGATCGGAGATCTAGTCTTCCGGAAGTTGAAGCTTCTCCTCCGGCGGGGAAGCGAGCTGTCATCAAGAGTGCTGATATGAAAGAGGATATGCAGAAGGAGGCTATCGACATCGCTATCACCGTTAGGCTCTCTTACTACCTCTCTCTCTATATCTCTCGTTTTCTCCAATTTGTTGTGTATACATTCTTCGAGTTTAGGGATTTCTTATCTTGATCCTTGAGTTTAGGGTATGAGTGATGCTGATTGTGCCTGGAATTTTCAGAAATAGTCACTGAGCTATCTCTGGAGTTCGATTTTGGAAATCTGATTTTGATAATATGAAGTTCATTGTGTACGTAACTAGTTTCGATCTCTTGTAAACTATGGAACTTTAATCCTGACTTAAACTTTATTAGTAGTGACATTCCCAATCGATTGATTCAACTTAGTGTCTCTTGAAGTATCATCTCTGTGACTGTGGAGTGATGATGTAAAGTTGCTAAATAAAGATTTACTTACATATCGGAATCTGGGATTTATATTTGCAGGCATTTGAGACTTACAGTGTGGAGAAGGATATAGCTGAGAATATAAAGAAGGAGTTTGACAAGAAACATGGTGCTACTTGGCATTGCATTGTTGGTCGCAACTTTGGTTAGTTCCCTCTCAACTTAAGGCGACATTGTTTGAACAAAAGTGCTGCGTTAGAGGATTTTGTTTTTGGATTCTTCTTCAGAGGGAGATAGTGATTTCGTAGGATCTCATTTGATTTTGCTGCTGTTGCTTGGTTTGGTTGCTTCTCTGTCCTAATTAGACTTATATTGGAAATGTTGTTCTTCTTGCGTTTGAAATGGTTTTGTGCACTTAGTTTTGGAGAAAGATAAGTTTGAAACTGCAGATGATTGATATGACATCTCGGTATCACCAAGCTATGTATTAAGCCCCTGAAGCAACTAAGTAGCTACATCTTATAATAGCTTTAGCTAGCTTCACCGGAATACATGTTTCCTTGTTCAAAATCGACATATGTCAGAATTTTGTGCTTTCTTGAATAAACACATATAATTTATCGTTCTATATCAAAATGTGATACCACACACGAGCCCCGCAGTTCTTGGATTGTAGCTTTTCTTTTCTAACCAAAACTCTCTGCGTTCTTGTTCATGTGCATAAGATGATATTGCAACAAACGAAGTAATATATTCTTAAAGCCTTACTGGCTTCTATTATGTGTCGATTAGAATCTGATTGCTGTTAGTGTTTTATACACTTATGCTTCGGTATTACTCTATTTGTGTTCGTTCTTGCCTATATAACCTTAATTCGTTCTTTTACCTTTCATTTTCTTGCAGGATCTTACGTAACACACGAGACAAACCATTTCGTTTACTTCTACCTCGACCAAAAAGCTGTTCTGCTATTCAAGTCGGGTTAATAATTTGGAAAACCAAGAAAGCTCATCGTTGGGGGAAAAAAGTGATGCTCAATCGCATTATCATCATCACGTTGTAGTTAGTTTCTTGTTTTGTGTGTATGCATGTGTTCCTTCAAGGCTTTTAACCAACAAAATTGGAGAATAAACCCTTGCAAGTCTTTTAGTACATGTCATGCATCTTCAAATGTATATTTGATTTTACCAGATCTAAAACTCAGCTTTGAAGAAATCTGAATTTCCGGTTTATGTTGCTTTCTCTTTCTTCATTGGTACCAACCATACAATTGCTATCCGAATTCTGAATACAATCAAATTCTCAGGACATAAATTTATGAAAACAATCAAAATTTTATATTGGAACTGTAGAAAATAATACAGATTTGTCAAAATTAACAAAATTTATCAAAAACCATCAACAACTGAATCAGGCTTAAGGCATGGCTTCCGTCTAAACACTTCCGGTGTTGGAACCGATGATGGTTAGATCTTTATCAATTCTATCTAGCTAGTGATTGATTCTCCGTTTCATCTTGTAGTAGTGTTTTTGACTTGAAATCAGATAAATTTATGCCAAAACAAAGAAAACTAGGTTGAAGAACCGAAACCCAGATGAAGAAATCGATTTAAGAATTTTTGAAAAAAAAAATTTAGACCATTTTTCGATTTGTGCGTGTCATCCTTGCGCAAGGCCATGCTAATCTTCTCTGTATCGTTCCAATTTTATCGGATGTCCCCGAAAGGACAATTATTCTGTCGACTCTAACGCTATATAAAACACATCTGCTTCTAACTGTGTAACCGATGTGGGATAAAAGTTATTATTCGTTTCAGTTGAAATGGGCTTTGCAGGGCCTCTCTTCTAATTTGTTATGGGCCCAGTTTATTATGTCGACTGATTTTTTTGCCCTTTCAGCGAGATGTGGGGGTGACTTGGATGTTAATTAATTTAAAATAGGTCCCTACAAATACATAGTTTCATTCTTTAATCTAAGTTTGAGGACTGTTATATTATTTTCTTGAAACAGTTTCAAATTTTCAATGAGTTCACTATAGAACTAGGAAGAATAGTATTCTGAAACTGTTTAAATTTTTAGATGTTTCACAAAATTTAAGAAAATAATGTTTATTTACTTTTCTAAAGCATTTTATGTTTATTTATTAATTTAATACTGATTTTTATATTTTTTTTATCTAAAAAGTTGTCCTGAAAAAAGAAATATGTTAAATATAATATAGAAAATCAATCTTTTAGAAACAAAAATAAATCTCAAAACATTAAACTTTTAAAAACTGATAAAATATAACAAAGATAAATTTCAGACATTAAAAACTAAACAATAAATTTCTAAACAGTAATCCTAAAGCCTATTTTTTTAATATTCAACTTCAACAAAATTGTATATTTCCGATCTTAAAAGAATCAGTCTTTATTTCTTAGTGTTAGACTAAAAGCAAAAGTTGTTAATTTCGAAGTTAAGGGGTCGCATATGTGAAACCGTATAGTTTTGAGGGGTTGAAAGAGTAAAACTCCTTTAAAAGAATTAGACTAAATGACAAAATTACAAATTTTGCTGAATTTCATTTTTCCACGATTTAAACCAAAAGGAGAAAGAAGAAGAGAGAAACGAGTTTTCTTCTACTTGTATCGATCGGAAGATAGAAAATGGCGACGTCGATGATACAGAGAATGTTTAAGCAAGGCACGAAGATCGTCTGCGTCGGCCGTAACTACGCCGCTCACGCCAAAGAACTAGGCAACGCCGTTCCTAAGGTTCTTCATTTTCCCCAGAAAAAAAAAATTAGTTTCTGGGATTCTCATCTATATTGAGTCCTCTGTAATTCGAAATTGCTTTCATTAATCCGAGATCGAAAGTTTCGCATGTGTTTTACTCTTAAATCTGAGAAAGATGAATTGTGATTTTGTATCAAAATTTTGAATAGCACATATCTCTGATCTTTGATTGGGAAACAGGAACCAGTTATATTCTTAAAGCCGACATCATCATACTTGGAGAACGGAGGAACGATCGAGATCCCACATCCTCTGGATTCACTTCACCATGAAGTGGAACTCGCTCTAGTGATTGGACAGAAGGCTAGAGATGTACCCGAATCAATCGCCATGGATTACATTGGAGGTATCTAGTTTAATTATGTCAAATGTTATCTTATTCTTCTGAATTTTTATGATTTCATTTCTCATTGCATTTTTTTTTTTTCGTTTTTCTTGGTTTTTAAGGGTATGCGGTTGCTCTTGATATGACTGCTAGGGAGCTCCAAGCTTCTGCTAAGGTATCGAAAACTGAATTTGTGTTCATATCAATGGATTTTATGTTCCTTTCTTACACGTCTTGCTTTGCATTTTTAACAATTTAAATCATCGATGATAGAACTCATTCTTTAATGACAAAGTCTTCTATGAGCTCATGAACCATCTTATGAATTCAGATTCTCTTATTTGTGATCATGTCTTGAGCTTTGCAGGCTGTTTTCAACCACAGTTTCTCTTAGTGGAAGACAACTAAAATGTGTAGTTTTGTGCTTAAGCATAATATCGTGTTTAAACACTCGTTTTCAGGCATCTGGTCTCCCATGGACGCTTGCTAAAGGACAAGATACTTTCACTCCAATCAGCTCTGTTGTAAGTATTGATCTTGAAACCTAGATGCTAGTTTCGACATGCTATTGTACAGATTATATGAAAAATGCTGCCTTCTGTTTTCTTTAATGGACGCATTAATTCTCTTTGTCTGGTTGCTATATGACCAGACTTCACTACGCGGTTAGGGTTTGACCACAGTTTGTTTGCTCACGCCTGTTCTTGTGATTAGATTAGAAAAGTCACTCTGCAGGAGGTTTAATGGTTTCACAGCCTACTTGACATGAGATAATATGCATATTTTGCTGAGAATCACAACTCTTTTTAATCTCCTAGTTTCAATTTTGTTTCTCTTGCCGTGTTTCAGCTGCCAAAGGCAATGGTGCATGACCCCGATAATCTAGAACTTTGGCTCAAGGTTTGTTTAGCCCCCACCCTCTTTTGTCCTGTTGTTACTTAAAAAAAGTTATTTCACTTCTTAAGAATATGCAAAGACCAAACTGAATCCATTTTGTGACAGGTTGATGGTGAAACAAAACAGAAGGGTTTGACAAAAGATATGATCTTCAAGGTGCCATACCTCATCAGCTACATAAGTTCTATAATGACTCTTTACGAAGGAGATGTCATCTTGACAGGTTTTTATTTACTTGATAAGTTCTATTTTTTTCTTTCCCGAGACCAAAACATTCGGAACTAAACGGAAACTTATGAGACAATTGCCTTCAAATTATAGGTACACCAGAAGGTGTTGGACCTGTAAAGATAGGTCAGAAGATAACCGCAGGGATCACGGGTCTATCTGAAGTTCAGTTCGATGTCGATAGGCGTGTAAAGCCTTTGAGTTAAGTGTTACTCTCTTTTGATTTTCCTTTCATTTAAAATGTCAATCGTTTATGATAACAAACTATCTCTACTTTTCATCATTACTGTGTTTCCACACACTCATTTGTAATTTCAAAAACAATTGACTCTTAACACAGGTTTAGTTTGTTTATGTGGGAAACATTTGGAAAAGTATGACATTTATTATATTATATTCCTACAACATTTTCTTTAATCTAAAAAGTGAGGAAATAGTCGTGGATGTGTTTACTTATCTCGTCAGGCCTTTCCTCATGGAGAAAGTGACCGACGCCTTTAAGTACCACAACTTCGTCCAACAAGGGGACGTGGCTCTTAAACCGGCCTTCGTGGATGTACTTCTTGGTGCCTGGAATGTGATATGTCAAGTCTTGGTCGCCTATTATGAACTTAACCGGAACTTTCACCTGAGCGTTTGATAGCGATCCCATCAGCTCCCATGTTCTGCAAAGAGCAAAGCAGAGAGTGAGTAACGCACGGTAAAAAAAAAAAAAACGAGGTACTTTCTCAGACGATGAGATTCCTAATACATGAGGTAGGCCAAACGAATTGAGTGTAACGCAATCAGAATTATATGTTGAAAGCCATACAAGCAACTGAATGTATTCAAGCAAGTTTCATTGGCGTAGCATAGATGTGAGTATTTTGAGGATTACATGAAACATACCGGTCCATGTTTCGGTAGTAGTTTAATGGTCCAGTGAAGCCATTCTTCTCGTACTTTGAAACGTAATACTTGACATCATACTCAGTTAGCCACGAGGGGAGTGAAACAGGATCATCATAGCGTTTTCCTTTAGGTAAGAGTATAGGACCAGGATTACGATACGTTAAGAGCTCTAATAGAACTCGTTCCGTGCCAACTTTAGCAAATTCCGCCTCTATTTCCCCATATTCCTGCAATGTAAAACCCATTTTCTTCTGATGAGAATCAAACAAACCTACACGCTAAACAGAAACACAAAACATCTCTCGTCTCAAGCAAAACATTTCAAGCAAAAAGGCCCAATGCCTATTCATTCAGCTACATTCACAGGAATCTTGATGAGAATAGTGAACAAACTAGCAAAACTTCATTCAGGTAAGAAAATTTGATCATCACTCTCTTACTGGTAAGCTAATGTCTGGGTTGTGAAAATGATCAGTTCTAATGTTTCAACATGAGTCAGCAACAAACACTAGAGCCAAAAAGATGAACTCAAACTGATGATTTTCAGCAAATTGATCTCTTCTTCACACATAATCAAGTGTTCTACTGACAGATTCATTAGAGTCCATTCAAGTTTTTTGAGCTGACCTGAAATCTGCAGATGTAGTAGTCATCGCCATAGAAGGATCTAAAGCTCGAGATCGGCTTCCTCTTAGGATTCCAAGGATCGAACACCACACTCATGTTGACCAGAGCCTTGACTCTATCAGGTCGGAGAAGACAGAGATGCCATGCGATGATTGCGCCCCAATCGTGTCCCACCACGAACACCTTCTCCCGTTCTCCCACCACGGCGTCGATCAGTCCGATCAGATCTCCGACCACGTGGAGACTTGTGTACGCGTCCACGCTCTCCGGTGCCTCGGTGTCGCCGTAGCCGCGTAGGTCCGGCGCGATTGTCCGGTATCCTAATGATGAGAGTGTCACCATCTGATGTCGCCACGTGTACCAGAGCTCCGGGAATCCGTGGAGGAAGAGTATCACCGGACGACGCAAAACCCCGTCGAAATTACCGTTCCCGGCGACGGAGGGACTTTTCTCGGCGATGTGCATATTGATTCCATTGACCTTCACAAATCTGTGATCGAAAGTAAGATCCATCCTTAGGAGAAGCCAAAAAGATTTGCTTGAAGAAATGATCGAAATTTCAAATTTGGGGAAGAACTGTTGCTGCTCTGCGTAAGTAAGTACAACAGCATGATCCGTAGTAATCTAGACCGGTCCGATCGGTTAAGAAGTTTAGAATTAAACAAAGAGGAATACCGATAAATTGTAACCAATAATCTCTTATCGGAAAGATGTATATGAAAACTATTTTTTATCCTTTACTTTACCAATTAATTACATTTTTTTTTCTTTCTCTCTTCATTTGTATACAAAGAAGAAGAAACAAAAAAAAAAAAGAAAAAAACACAAAAATTGCCAATATTATTAATGATAGAAATAATGTTAATAATGTCATTAACAAAAATAAAATTGATATAAGATAACACAATTAAGAGTAACGATAATATTAATGTTGGCGATGATAATATAAAAATGCTAATATCATTAATATAAATTAATTAGTTATAAAATTATTATAATAATTATTAATATAGTTTTGTATAATTTTGTTAAGTTAATAATGTTAATTAATTAATCAATTTTTATTATACAATAATTAAATTAACATATTAATTATATAATAACAATGTTAAAATAATACTTCCTCTGTTTTATAAAGAATGTTATTTTAGAGTTTTGTTTTTATTTTATAAAGAGTGTTGTTTCGGTTTTCAGTGTAAATTTATAACTAAATATTCAATTTTAATTTTGTTATATTAGTGTATTAATTAGAAAGAGAGAATTGTGTATTTATAAGAGATAGAAATTTTTTTTATTAATTTTTTAAATTTATGTGAAAAGTGTCAAAATGATACTTATTTTAAAACAGAGGACTATAAAATTAGATGAATAGTATAATAACAAATTTAAAACTAATGTCATTTGTGTAATTAACTCAACTGAAAAGAATATATTTAGAATAAAGTTTATTTTATTGTAAAATATCTAATTTTAATTATCTATTATCATATGTTTAATTAATTAGTCAACTATGCATATTGATTAAATTCACTCTTAAACAATTCAAAATTCAAAAAAAAAAATAAACAAAAGCAAAAATAAACAGTTGGTCAACTAACTATCAGAAATTAATTTGTAAATTACATCCGCAACACAACACATTGTAGGAAAGGTATTGGATGCTTCGACGATGCAGCTGGGAGATTGTCTCCTAAAACCCAAAGATTGGAGATATTTTCTGCTCTGGCCAAAAAAAAAAAAAATGGAAATATTCTTCGTCGCACTCGCTCGGTCTTATTTTTATTAATTAAAGAAAGTTCCCCGCAGTTCAAATCTCGAATCGAAGTAAAGTCTTCTTCCTCTATACCCTCCTCTCTATAAAGTCTTCTTGAGGTCGGCCTTTTCCCAGAGACCATTCATTTTCAAGGCGGTTTCAATTTGATTCTGATAAGAAGATCGTCGTATATATATACGTTGAAGCATCGACCAAAGAGAGTTGATTGCGATGGATAATACAGCTGAGCAGGTCATTTTACTCAACGGCGAGGCCGACAATTACAATGGCGTTACCGTAACTATAAAGGAACGAATAGATGCTGAGGTTTTCACCGAAAGGCTTAGGGCTTCGCTTTCGCATTGGAGAGAAACGGTAAAATCTAAAACAATCCCAATTTTCAGATTTTTTCAAGCCTTTTTTTGTACAATGTTTCTTCTTTCTCTATGGGATTTGATTTTGATATATGAAAGTCTGAGTTTTTTTTTTGCAGGGGAAGAAAGGGATTTGGATAAAGCTTGCACTTGGATTTGCTAATCTTGTAGAGCCTGCAGTTAGTGTAAGAGAGATTGTGAAATCATTTTTCTCTTGTGTTTGACTTTTGGTAAAGAGGATGACTTGGTGATTAGATATATGTTTGATTTGTTCAGGAAGGGTTTAGATATCACCACGCAGAGCCTGATTACTTGATGCTTGTGTCTTGGATCTCTCACACTCGTGATACAATCCCAGCCAATGCTTCTCATGTTGTAGGCGTTGGTGCTTTGGTCCTCAACAAAGAAACTCAAGAGGTAAAAAAAACCAAATTTTGAATCTCTTTAAAGGACCCAAGAAAAGATCAAGAATCTCACTAATGATGTTCGTTTATGTAAAAAACATTACTTTTGACTGAACCGAGATGGAACCACTTTCGATGTTCGCAGATACTCGTTGTCCAAGAAAGGAGCGGTTATTTCAAAGATAAAAATGTGTGGAAGCTGCCTACTGGTGTTGTCGACGAGGTGAATATCATGTTCATCTTTGTTTGTCTTATTAAATATTTACAATCTCTATGAGTGACATGAAGAGTTGAAACGGTGAATGGAGCTCCTACTCTTATATCTAGCTTAGGACTGAATGTAGATGTTGTAAGTCGGTTAGAGAAGAATTAGTGAGCGCTTAGCTTATAAAGGGTCTCAGCAATATTGTCTTAGTGAACTAATGAAGAAAAGCTTCTCTTGTTAACAGAACCATAAAGTGTTATACAATCACTCTGATAAATTTTTACGCCATAAACATTCTTTTTTCACGACTTAGCTGGTCAGCTTGCGATACGTATAGTACATAGTGTCAAACATTGGTCCCTGGAAAGACGATTGATTGGATGATATCAAGTTTGAAATTAGATGGAGAATCGTATAATCCTTTTTTTTTCTGCCTCTAACGAGAACTTTGTAAATCCACAGGGTGAGGATATTTGCACTGGAGTAACAAGGGAAGTGGAAGAAGAAACTGGTGTATGTATCTTGCTTTCACAACAAAAAGCTATCTACTTCTTCAATGATCTTATACTTATGCCACTTTATACTAAATTCTGTTTTCTTTTTATTGGGTTTTGTTTTTTACTTCAGATTATTGCAGATTTTGTGGAAGTGTTGAGTTTCAGGTAAATTATGTTTCATTGCCTTGGGAGAACATCTGATCTTGCTTACACACATCAGTTCTCTGATTGATTTTACTCGTTACTCTCGCAGGCAAAGCCACAAAGCATTCTTGAACCAGAAATCGGATCTTTTTTTCCTGTGTGCCTTAAGTCCACGGACTTACGAAATCACTGAACAAAAATCTGAGATCTTGCAAGCTAAGGTATATATAAGCCAAGAAAGATGTTTAAAGTCACAGTCACTGCTTATTATCCCTATATCCAATATCACCTGAGCTGCTATATATATATATATATATATCTGTTTTTTTTTTTGTTACAGTGGATGCCAATCAAAGAATATGTAGACCAACCATGGAACCAGAACAAGGAGATGTTTAAGTACATGGCTAACATCTGCCAGAAGAAGTGTGAGGAAGATTACTTGGGATTCTCCACTGTGGAAACTACCACAGGAACTGGTAAGAAGAGCTTTATCTACTGCAATGCTGATTACGCCAAGAGCCTTAACTCAAACCGTGGCCAAGCCTCTGCTTCTCTCTGATATCATTTCTCATTCGATTCCCTCAAATTTGTGTTCTGTCAAGGGTTGTTTATCCTTCTCTTTTATTCCAATCACCGCGTCTTTCTGATACAAAAACAATGATTGCATCCTTTGGCATTGTCTTTTAATCTATGGTTCCATTATTCTTCTCATGCTTTGGTTCATCTTAAACCGGTTATAGATTCTTAGCTGTATGTTTCATGTTTGATGCACTGCTTTGTGGTAACACGACCGTCATTATATCAACTTTCAAAGTTACGCAACACATCAGATGTCTGGAAATGATCTTCAAGAACTTCTTTATGGGATAGAGTCATTGGCTTTAACATTTTAACATTTAACATTCACAAATTACAACGAGGGAATAGTGAAGGAGAAATCAATCATTCAGTCCAGTTAAAAGGTGCACGATCAACGATTAAGTAGTCTCCTCTGATGTCCTTGGCCACTCTGATCTCACCATCCATATACACATTCTCAAACCTGTGCAGCAACCAAAACCAAACTCTCTCTCTATCACAATCATCTAATGAAGAAGAAGAAGAAGTTTAGTTGTTGTTTGTATGAATCTAACAAAACTCACCAGCCCTGCCCAAATGGTGGCAATGGTATCTCCCAATTGCTTCCTCTCAACACCGCACTAGTGAATCTGATAATGAATATCAAAAACCCTGAAAATTAGATTCTCCTGGCATTTTCTTAGGGGAATCTTTGATTGTAGGAGGGGGTCTTTTTAAAACCTGAAATTGACTCTCTGCGGAGAAGCAATGTCGATATCGGAGCGTACGAAGAAAACGCCGTCGGGAGGGAAAGTGATGACGTTGTTCAGAGACCGTTTCTTCACATCGATCACCTGAAGAACGTCTCCGGTGCGAGTGCCGAACAAGCCGGCCTTCTCTATGATGAATAGCTGCTCCTTCTCCGTCGTCCACAGCAGTCTCCACGTGGCGGAGAGCGATTCTCCTGTGGTGGTTGAGCCGCGCCCGATTACCGCCATGGATTCGATCGCATCCACGATTGCATCTCGCTTCGCCGCGTCTTTCTGGGTTCTCAGGCCTCGATCCTGGTCGGATATCAGATCCAGAAGGTTCCGCTTGGCTCTCTGTGCGGTGGGCTTCGCGAAGAGCGAACAGCTTGTTCGAGAACTGCGACGGAGTCCGAGCGGAGGAGATGATGCTGAGAGCGCGACCGCCATGTGTTCGCTAGCTGCCGTGAAGCTGATTAAAAGATGATACAGAATGTATGTAGTATTTGTGTCTTTTAATGGGCTGGGCTTAAAACAAGGCCCATTGGGATTGATGATGGAACACAAAATGGGTACGAAAATGTTCAGTCTTTGCTTAAGGCGTCACACTGCTTTGTTTCATATATCTTGCAGTACACGTTTCACTCTCTCTTTCTTTACATGACATGATACCATGTAGTGTATTAGTTGGTCTTTAACAACTGTTTTAAATTTAAAATCTTCCCTTTGATCTCGATCTATAGCTGGATTAAAACCAGCTGTCTTTGCGTTATTTTCAATTTTTTTTTTGGTTGGTTTTGATTAAAATGAAATAAAAAGGTAGTTGGTCTTTAGCTGGATTAAGAGCTTTGATCTCGATCTATAGACTATAGCTGGATTAATTAGAAACATTATAAGTAGTCCCTTTTATAAAACCCGAGAGATTGTGATCTATTTGCTTCATTCATTTCGTAACCAAAAGATAAATCGCATGGAAGTAAAGAAAGCTGCTTAAGTTTTAGTAAATGATTATGTGATTCATTCTAAAAAGAAAATAAAAAATCCATGGAAACACGTAAATATTATTGTCGTTCTAAGCCCCCATGTCTTCTGGCGGATCCAGAAAAACCTCACAAACTCTGCCGCCGATCTGATCCTCCACTCTCCAACTGCTTCACCTGCAAAGGACAACAACACCTGGAGAAGAAAAGGTACTATTATTATTGTGCTACTTGTGATTTGGAATTTCACAGAGGTTGCCACTATTATCCTCCTGAAATCAGACACCCTTATCACCTCATCCACCCTCTCACCTTCACCTCCTCAAAGCCTGATCTTGATATCGCCACCATCCCTGAATTTTGGTATTCAGAGTCCTCTGGTTCGGAATGCTATGACTCCGATCTACCTCAAGGCTCAGATGAAAATTATCAAAAATGCAAACCTTGTCGGAAAAATCTTACCGGCAAATATCCATACTATCATTGTTCTACCTGCAATTTCAACCTAGACGTGTATTGCGCAAGGTATCCACCACCTCTCAGTATTGAAAACCTAAAAAGCCATGACCACGCTCTTACCCTCTTTCCTAGACAAGTCCCTTTGCCATGTGACGCTTGTGGCTTCTCTCTTGATGGCACCTGGGATGAAGTTTACTCTTGTCTGCTTTGTAACTACATGGTTCATAGAAGATGCATCTACTTACCTCGTGTCGTTAAGATCACCCGTCACCAACACCGTCTCTCTCACACTTCCTCCCTTGTTCCTTCTTGTGATGAGTTTTCCTGTGGGGTTTGCCACAAACCCGTAGACATCAGTTACGGGAACTACTCTTGCAACAAAGGATGCCACTACGCTGTCCATTCGAGATGTGCAACAAAGGATGAAGTGTGGGATGGGATGGACCTTGAAGGAGTGCTCGAAGAAGAGGAACCAGTCATTGAGCCATTTGTGTGGATCGATAAAGAGACAATACAGCATTTCACTCATGACCATCACCATCTAAAGATCCAAGGGAGTGGCAACCATGAAAACAAGTTTTGCCAAGCTTGCATCCTTCCGATAACTGTTTCAAATCGCTTCTTTAGCTGCTTCCAATGCGAGTTTGTTCTTCATGAAACATGTGCATCCCTTCCTCGCAGAAAACACCTTCCTATACACAAACACCCTCTCACCCTCTCCCATCCAATATCTTCTAATCCTCACGAGCTCGGAACTATATATCGCAGAGAAGGTTTCTTCGTCTGCGATGGTTGTGATCGAGCGTGTTGTGGCTTCATGTACAAGTGCATGGAAAATGATTGTGAGTTCGAACTAGATGCAAGATGCGCTTCGCTTCCTGATCCTTCAGTACAAGACTGCCATCCACATGATCACCCTCTCTTCTTCACTCTCAACCAAGGTGAGTGCATGGGTTGCATGTATCGCGGCCCCCGTCGTGAGTACATCGAATGTATTAAATGCAAATCATTTTTGTGTCTTCAATGTGCTACTTTGCCTTCCATGGCTCACTACAAGCACGATAAACATCCACTCGCTCTTTGCTGCGGAGAAGAAGAAGAAGAAAAGAAAGCAGATCTCCAATACTGGTGTGAGATCTGTGAAGGGAGATTAGATGCAACAGAGTGGTTCTACACGTGTAACGCTTGCAGAGCCACTCTTCACGCCACATGTTTGTTGGGAGAAAGCATGTACCTGAAGCCAAACCATATCATCAAAATATATAATAAAGATGCTGACGTTACACGCAACAGTGGTAATACCAGTCCAGTGTGTGATATATGTAGTCGTCGTTGCGAAAACACTTTGGTATTCAAGTGGTTAGATACAACTTCATGTACATTGGGCTGTTTATGGAAACGAGAGGACCTGAGCAGCAATGATTAAGGGGTCAATTAATTTGGGGACAAAACATCTGCAACCATCATATTCTTACTTCCATTGCAAATACCTCCATTTGAAACATATGATTTGATGTTATCTTGCACTCGGCTAAACCTGGTTTAGTCAGAACATGTCCGGTTCGGTTTAGTTCTGTTATTTCCGGTTAAATCCAGTTGAATTCGATTTCCCGGGCTTTCTACGATATTTGCTTGTAAAATTGAAATTTCAGTGAGCAAGATTACATGTAAATGTAGAAAACACAAGAATGTTCTTCCGTTTTATTTGATCGTTTTTTGATTACGATTGTAGTACGATAAGTAGTTTTGTTCTTTATGTTTCAAACGAACTTTTGAAAGAAGCTGTGAATATGTTGATTGATCTCGTCAGGGTTTTCCTCGTGGAGGAAATGTCCCAGTCCGTTGAGCACGACGGTTTCATCGAGCAACGGTACGTCTCTCTTAAAGCCGCCACCGTGAATGTATTCCTTAGCTCCCGGCGAATTGTACGTCAAATCTTGATCTCCGACTATGAACTTCACCGGTACACGGATCTTAGAACCGGTCCAAGGTGCAGTCAGCTTCCAATTCCTGTTTAAAAATCAAACCAAATTTAAACCGATTGGTTAAAATTAAAAACTTGTGATTAATACTTATTGAACCGGGTGATTTACGTACCGGTCAATGTTGCGGTAGTAGTTAATGGCTCCAGTGAAGCCTTTCTCCTCGTACTTGGTAACGTAATAGTCGAGATCTTCTTGTGTTAACCACGATGGTAACGACGCAGACGCGGCGTTTTCAGATCGTTTAAAAAGTTTGCCTTTGGGGAGATAGAGCGGGCCAGGCGTTTTGTAGGTGAGGAACTCTTTCAACACATTCTCTGTTCCCAACTTTTTGAACTCTGCTTCTATCTCTCCAGGTTTCTTAATCACATAAATAATCACTCATTTAAATATTATATACTTATATATTTACAGTCATAGGGCATCGTTATATGATTTGAATGGAATAATAAATCCACTTGTCAATGACTAAAATCTGAATCTAAACGGTAAATAAAATTTACCGTGAATTTCATTCACTTTTGGGTTTTCCATATGGTTCACTCAGATTAGTTTTGGTTTTTCCAAGATTTAATTGAAAACTGAATCTAATTTTGGTCAGCATAGCATAATCCTTATGTATTCGTTTTCCCCTCTTTTGTATTATATGCTACACATAATTTTCACTCCTAAATATAATTAAACTAACCATAATGAAAACTTATTAGAAGTTGGTTTGTGTTGGTCTAATTCAGTTTTGTTCGGTTTACACTTTCAAAAGCCAATCAAACTAAGTCTAAGTAAAAAGCTACAAATTACAACACTAATTACCTGAAATTTGCAGATGTAATAATCGTCACCAAAGACATGTCTCAACGTCGGAATCGGAACCCGATCTGGGTTCCTTGGAGTGTACACAACGCTCATGTTGACCAGAGCCTTGACTTTCTCCGGTCGGTAATGACACAACTGCCACGCAATCATCGCTCCCCAGTCATGGCCCACCACGAAAACCGCCTCTTCTCCGCTCGTCACGGCGTCGATGAGTGCCACCAAGTCTCCGACCACGTTTAGGTACGTGTAGTCTTCCACTTTCTCCGGCGCGTCGGTGTCTCCGTACCCTCGGAGATCCGGCGCGATCGTACGGTATCCCAAGGAAGAAAACGCAGCCATCTGGTGTCGCCACGTGTACCAAAGCTCCGGGAATCCATGGATAAAGAGAATGATCGGATCTCCTCCGGATCCGGATCCTGGTTTTTCCGCAACGTGCATGTTTATGCCGTTTACCTTGAGGGTTTTGTGTTCTACGCCGTCGAGTCCTGACATGTTCACGGTCGTTGGATTTGGATCTGGTTGGTTCCCGAAAAAATGAAGGAATCTTAAAAGGAAATGGTTTAGGGATCTACACAAGAACATGAAAAGGTTTTGGGCTGTATTGATTGTGATACGACGTCGTAAGCGTTAATGCCATTTAAAGCTGAGGAACAAATGGAATCAAATGTTGTCCCACGAGGAATAGAAAAGGAAAAGAGATCTGTATTATCGTTTACGACAAATTAACAAGATTACTGTATCCACTGTTTTAAACGATGGTATATATATATATATTCAGGCATTTTTTATTAAGCAAAAATAAATATTCAACCGATATGAACCGGCAAGGCAACATCCAATCTTGCTATTTCTATTTTATTTTCTTTTTTGACAATCAATTTTGCAATTAAATTATTTGGAATACTTAGAGTTGACACAATAATGGAGTAGTAAACCCCAAGGTGTGGTTGAAGACGATACGTTTCTGAATAGTGTTCTTTAGTTTGCTTGATGGCTATGTAATGGTATCCACATTTTGGATCAAGTCATTCACTTTTCTTCCAAATGCTTAGCTTATCTGCATTATGTGTCACCTGGTGAATCAATACGTATCTTACATATATAATTGTTCTCTTTTCTTGTTGACAAATAATACATGTTTTTAAAATGAAAAATCATGCCATTTTCCTACTTATATGTAGGTCATGTAGTGTCATGGACAAGGACGGACACATAAAATAATTATATATGGAGCACAATATATATAAATATTTAATATAATTAAATTAATTAAAATATATTATGAATATTGAAAATTATAACATAAATTATTATAGTTTTTGTTAATTTTTGAAAATATAAAAAATTAAATAAAAAAAAAAATTGGAAAAAAAAACAATAAAAAACATGGAAAATGATTGAATTTGAACTTATATGAAGAATAATTTAGCTACAATGAAAATTATAACATAACTTATTATAGTTTTTGTTAGAGATGAGATTCGTACCGTCTCTAACAAGCCCGATATGAATTCTAGTCGGTCCATCAAACAAATCCTAGGTCGGCAACATAAAATGAAAGCTTTCATTTATCAGACGACCCGGCGAAAAAGGAAACTCCTTGCCGACAAGAGTTTCCTATTCCGAATAGGATGAAGACCGACCTGATCGGGTACAAATATAGGAAGTCCTCGACTTCTCAATGGATCCGAAAAATCATTAATCAAGACCTAGAGCAAACTAAGCAATCAGATTGTTCTAGCTTTTTGGTTAACTTTCCTTAAGAGTTTTAGGTCGGCGTTCTTATTCCGACGACCTAAACACCGTTGTATTCAATCAAGCTCCGGCTTCTTCTAATAAAAGATCTCTTTAAAACCTTCAAAACCCTAGTTCTTTCTTAGCTCGAACTTGAGTTTTTACAGTTGGCGCCGTCTGAGGGGAATAAAAGAGCAACCTTTGACTTAGAAGGAAGTTCGAAGATGGTTGAAACACCGATCAACACTACCGACCTCACCGGAGCCTCCGATCCGACGAGAAACACCCAGGATCTGGTCGTCGATCCAGCCACCGGACTCCCGATGGGCCACCAAACCGATCAGGACAACACAGATACCACGCAGACAGATCAGGTCGGTCAGACAGGTGGTTCAAACACGACCAGCCTACCACAGCCACCTCCCATCGATATGGCCACCATCATCAGGTCGGTCGCAGAGCAATTGCAGCAAGGGATGGATGCTCGCTTCGAATCTCTCCGTGCCGAGCAGATAGCCTACAGAGAGGACCTAGATCGGCTTCTCAACTCTAGAGTTCATACTCAAGAGCAGGCCGATCTAATCACCCCTCCCCGCCCTCCGATCCGCAACACAGACACGACCATGCTAGTCAACAACCTGTTTGGCACGACACCGACAGACGACCTGCGGAGAGCACGTGCAGAGGGCTCGAACGCCCGTTCATCGCGCAATACCGCAGGCACCGACCTGACGACAACCTCGGAGCTCGATCTTCTCCACCAACGCCTTGACGATATCCACAGCAAGATCCACAAGGCAACAACCTCAGCACCAGAGTTGGAGAAGATCCTCCAGGAGACCCAGCAGACCCCGTTCACATCAGCCATCACCAACGCTCCTCTCAAGGACTTAGACCTGATGAAGCTACCTCCAAGCTACACCGGTACGACAGACCCAAAGCGACATCTGACCGCGTTCAACGCCGTCATGGGATGGCTCGCTTCACCGACGAGGAACGGGAAGCATGCCTCTGTCAGTACTTCGTGGAGACACTCAAACTCCAGGACCTTCGCGCCTGCGGCGTTTTCGCCAGACGGGTTCCTCCAGCTTCGCTGATCTCCGGAAGCGCCCTCACCTGGTTCTCACAGCTCCCTAAGAACTCCATCGACAGCTTCAAGGAGCTCACAGCTCGGTTCCTGAAGCATTACTCGATCTACATCGATACGGAGTCTACATCGCTCGATCTATGGGCGTGCGTCCAGGGCGATACCGAGTCGCTTCGCGATTTTATCGATTGGTTCCGAGCAATCGTCTCCCAGTGCAATCTGTCGGACGAACTGTGTTTCAACATTCTTATCAAGAATTTGAAGGAGGATTCATCGTTTTGTGAACGATTGAAGACTGGAAAAACCAAAACCCTCGAAGATGCTTTGCACAAGGCATCAGGATACATCAGAGTCGAAGAGGATCGGGCAGCCAAGGCCAAGGCCAAGTTGGCCGATGAGAAATCTTCGCGCGACAAGAAAGGCAGATCGAGTCAGGAAGATTACAAAGAACCCCGTCAGCACTACGACAACGACGACAAGAACCGCAAGAGCATCAACGCAGTTGGACGACCAAAAAAGCCATAGAACGTGTGGGACCGTTCGAGCGATAGAGACCCTGACAGCAGTAAACCGTGGTGCAAATACCATAAGGCGCACGGTCATGATACCGATGATTGCCGCCTTCTCCCAGCCCTCTTGAGGAAGAGGTGGGAGGATGGCGAGATCACCCTTCCAGAACCCCGGAGTTTACGACGATCTAATGACGAGGACAGGCGACCCAATGACGATCGCGATAGAAAAGATACCACCGACCGCTCTTCTAAACGCGAGGGCAAGGAAACAAAGCGTGACCGTGAAGACGATCACACACCCCCAAGCTCACCACGTCGGCGGATTAACATGATCATGGGAGGGCTCCTTTCGTGCACAGACTCGATAAATTCAATTAAACGGCACGAGCGGAGGGCAGCTAATCCCCCGAAGGACGCACCACTACTATTCAAGGACGACCTACCAATCACATTCACAGAGCAGGACGCACAGGATATCGACCGACCTCATAACGATCCACTCGTCATCTCACTACGACTCGGAGAGGACGACGTCTCCAAAGTGTTGATCGACACTGGTAGCTCGGTCGACCTCATCTTCATGGATACTCTGCGCAAGATGAGTATTCCCGAGCGGGACATAAAAGTCGCACCATCCCCGCTCACAGGATTCGCTGGCGACTCAATTTCGACAATAGGAACTATAACGATGCCTGTCACCATACGCGGGAAGTCCATTTCGGTCAAGTTTGAGGTTATTGACCGACCTGCAATCTACAATGCTATCTTCGAAACACCATGGCTGAACACCATGCGAGCCGTCCCTTCTCTTTACCACCAATGCATCAAGATGCCGATCAGGGGCCGCGTCATCACCATCCGTGGCGATCAGACAGTGTCCCGACATTGTTACATCGACAACAAACGGGCCCGACAGGCATCAACGTTCGTCATTGGCAGCAGTAGCGACTTCGACCCGCAGATCGTTCACCACGACGAGCAGCCGAAGAGCGATCTTATCACCCAAGTCAACATCGATCCTGCCCACCCAGAACGTTGCGTCGGTATCGGCACGGAACTATTGCCTAGCATGCAGGACGAACTGATCAGTTTCCTCCAAGAGAACGTCGCAACGTTTGCGTGGTCTATGGCCGATATGAGGGGTATTAGCCCCCGAATAACGAATCACGAATTGAACGTCGACCCGACCTTCAAGCCGATCAAACAAAAGCGACGAAAGTTAGGACCTGAGCGAGCACAAGCCGTCCACGACGAAGTAGATAAACTCTTGAAGGCTGGATCAATCGCCGAAGTAAAATATCCGGATTGGCTCGCAAACACGGTGGTCGTCAAGAAGAAAAACGGCAAGTGGCGGGTCTGCGTGGATTTCACCGATCTTAACAAAGCTTGCCCGAAGGACAGTTTCCCCCTTCCTCGTATCGACCAGCTCGTCGAGGCTACAACAGGCAACGAGCTTCTCTCCTTTATGGATGCATTCTCCGGATATAATCAGATTCTCATGAATCCGGACGACAGCGAGAAGACCGCATTCATCACAGATCGGGGCACCTACTGCTACAAGGTCATGCCGTTCGGTCTGAAAAACGCTGGAGCCACTTACCAACGCCTGGTCAACAAAATGTTCGCCGACCAGCTTGGGAAGACGATGGAAGTATACATTGACGATATGCTCGTCAAATCAGCCAAAGCAGCCGATCACATAGTCCATCTGCGAGAATGCTTTCTGATACTGAACCAGTATGGCATGAAACTCAACCCCGTAAAATGCACATTCGCAGTCACATCAGACGAATTTCTAGGTTACTTGGTCACTCAGCGTGGCATCGAAGCCAATTCTAAGCAGATCTCCGCGATCTTGGAACTACCCTCGCCGACTAACACCCGCGAAGTTCAGCGCCTAACAGGAAGAATAGCCGCTCGAAACAGATTCATATCCTGATCTACAGACAAGTGTCTCCCCTTCTATCAACTCCTACGAGGGAACAAGCGATTCGAATGGGACGAGAAGTGCGAAGACGCATTCGTACAGCTCAAAACCTACCTCTCGACTCCACCGATCCTGGCTAAACCTGAATACGGCGACACTCTACTACTCTACGTTGCGGTCTCTAGCGCAGCAATCAGTGGAGTTTTAGTTCGAGAGGATCGTGGGGAGCAGAAGCCGATCTTCTACTTCAGCAAAACCTTAGATGGTGCTGAAGCTCGCTACCCAACCTTAGAAAAACTCGCTCTTGCTGTGATCGTCGCCT